TATCCTCCCTCCCAGGGACCGGCTGATGGCACCCTTCCTGTGGGAGGTCAGCGAAAGCCAGGTCCCTCCTGTGCCTGGGAGCTGGTGGTGGGCAGGCGGTCTGGCCAGAGAGGAGGGGAGGCTCTCCGCTGGTCCAATTCAACCGAAGATTGGTGTCCGTCACAGCAGAGGAGTAGGAAAGAAGATACCAGGTGGAAGAAAGCAGAGGCTAATTGAGGAGCGTCCCCCACGAACCGGGGCAAGGGGTGAAAGGAAGAAGGTGAAGCTGAGCAACTGGTAGGAACGTTCCAGGAGGAGAAGGGAAGGGGAAAGGCCCTGAAAAGGCCAAGAAGCCGAGACATCGTGCTCCCCGGGTAGTACCCATCCTTCTTCTGCTGTCCTGGAAAGTCCACTCTTTCTTTTCTCCTGCGGTAGATGAGGCGACCCGAGCCTCTTCTAGGGGAATGTTCTGGGCCTGTCTTACAAGTGAGCGCGTGTGTGTTTCTGTGTGTGTGATGGAGGTTCCAGAAAGACCAGGCTGCCCCCCCCAGGCCTGAAAAAAAAAAAAGGACGGCCAGGAAAGAGAGCTTGGGCTTCGATCGGCACAGCGTTGGTCCCATTGCTCTGACCGAGAGACGGATCAACTATCTGGGAAGAGTCTTTTCTGTGGGAGGGAGTTTGGACGCCTGGGCAGAAGGGAAGGAGCCTCTGGGTGCCTTGGTCGTTTGCTGTCTTCTAAAGGAAAGCAATAAATGTCACATGACGAATGCTTTAAACCAAAATGTTTTGTATATCGTCTTCTTCTCTAGCTGGGCTCTCTCTCTCTCTCTTTCCTCACCGGGTCCTTCTCCCAAGGATAGAAAAGAAGATCAATCCCTCGGGGGGGGGGGTTGAAAGCGGGCAACCCAAGGGGACGAGAAAACGGTCTTGGTCCGAGAGGCAGTGAAAGGACTGGCCCTTCTCTTGACCTTTGTGCACCAAGGGGTGAATCAGGTCCCTCCTCCTTTGCTCCTGGAGAGCATCCTCTGAAAGATGCTTGGCGAAGACAGGAGCCCCCCTCCTTCTCTCCTGCCCTTCCGAATCCTCTCCCCGTGTCTCCTGCCCCCTTCCTCTTGCCCCTACAAGTCCTCCCCGGGTGTCTTCCACCCTAATCCGTCCTGGCCCCAACCCTCCTGCCTCCCTGCCCCGGAAGCGGAGGCATGGCGAAGACGAAGACAGGACCGCTCCTTCTGTCGCCCCCCAGAAGATCCAGCCCAGGTGAGGGCAGTCAGTCTGTCTCAAGGGAGGCCTGTGGCTGAGGTGGAGGGCTAGCTGACGGGGGACCCCCCTCCCAGCATCTCTTCAAGGCACTTGGTCGGCCACTCTCCATGGAGGCAGAGGGCGGCCGTGTCCTGCCAAGGTCAGCCCCCCGTCGCCAAGGTGTCAGTGCTCAGGGATGATGGGCACTGTAGTCCAGCTGCCAGTGCTCCTGCAGAGGTCCCATGGCTGAACGATGGGTCTTCCCCTGCCAGAGGAGCAAATCCTGATGGATTCATCTCCTAACACCCACCTACCCCTCTCATTCTGCAGGAACAGCGCATCTAGGAAAAGGAAGGCCAAAGGGCAGCAGTTAGCTTCATCATCCTTCCCCTTCGGCAGTCAAAACGGGCACCCTCGGCTCCTCCAGGTACGGCCTTGGGCAGGGGGCCTGGGGTCAGGGTTAGGGTCTCCATCCACTCGGCCCCTTCCCAGGGACCAACCCCAGGAGGTTCGTCAGTTTGCTGGTTCGTTTGTTTCCGCTGGTAGACCTGGGTCCCTTCTTTCTTTCCGTAGGAGCTGTGCCAGCCTCCGGGGAGGAGCTGATGGATTGCACGCCGGCACCATAGAAAATCAAGAGGTGTGTAGATGCAGGTCAGGAAGGCGAGGGCTACTCCCCATCGGGGCAGGGGGGCAGAGGGAGCTGTGCCCTCCACCTCTGCCCCCTTCCAGGGGAGAAAGTGGGGCAGGGTGGGTGGGTTGGTGTGGGAGAGCGAGGCTGCCAGACCAGCCCACCGGGGGGAAGCTGGGTCTCCCCAAAGAGAGCAGAGCAGGGACCCCAGTGGGGGCTCAGCCCCTTCCCCAGGACCCTCACGGCCTCCCCTTTTCTTTTCCAGCAGCCCCAAGAAGAAGACGAGTCAAGAGAGCCGGCGATGTCAAGATCACTTCCTTTTCTGGGGCCCCCATTCCCCCTCTTTCTTTTCCTTCTCTATATATATCAATGGTAATGTTGGCCTGTTTTTAAAATGAAATTAGTTTCTGTTTGTCTATTTAGCTGAAAAGCCTGTTGCCTTCTTTCCAAGGGAGGCGGGTGGGTAAGGAAGTCGGGTGGCGGGCGAGAGGGAGCCCACAGTCCCCCAGCGGGGGCCTGGGCAGGCGGGCATGGGGCATCCGGCTCTTGCCCCCTTTGCTCCCCCACGCTCGGCATGAGGTTGGGGAGAAAAGAACCCCCCTCCCAAGTGAGTTCGAGGGTGAAGGGAGAGGTGATGGTCACCGCCTCGGTTTTCAAAGGGGACCCGGAGGAACGTCAGCCAAGGGCATCCAGGAGGGAATTTCCTCCAAGCAAACAGGGAGTCCAAACGGTGGGATAGGGAGCCCCAGGAGAAAAAGCCGAGGGCGGCCTAAAGAAAAAACGAGGGCAGCCTGGCTTGACCAAAGCTGTCCTCTCGGGCTGCCCACGGGAGGCAATGCATGTCCCTTGCTGGACGCCCGGTTCCTTGAACACACACACCCCCGGCAGCTCTACTTCGGTCTGTATTTCTGCGCCGAGGGGGTTGGACTCGATGGCCTCCGAGGCCGTTTCAAACTTCACAATTCCATCCTTTTATAGGAAAGCATAATTTCCAGGGGGTGGACAGGTGGTGGTGGGGTCTGCCTGGTTGCAGGTGAGGGGTGTCCAGCCCCCACGCGTCAATGCTCTCCCTCTATCCTCCCTCCCAGGGACCGGCTGATGGCACCCTTCCTGTGGGAGGTCAGCGAAAGCCAGGTCCCTCCTGTGCCTGGGAGCTGGTGGTGGGCAGGCGGTCTGGCCAGAGAGGAGGGGAGGCTCTCCGCTGGTCCAATTCAACCGAAGATTGGTGTCCGTCACAGCAGAGGAGTAGGAAAGAAGATACCAGGTGGAAGAAAGCAGAGGCTAATTGAGGAGCGTCCCCCACGAACCGGGGCAAGGGGTGAAAGGAAGAAGGTGAAGCTGAGCAACTGGTAGGAACGTTCCAGGAGGAGAAGGGAAGGGGAAAGGCCCTGAAAAGGCCAAGAAGCCGAGACATCGTGCTCCCCGGGTAGTACCCATCCTTCTTCTGCTGTCCTGGAAAGTCCACTCTTTCTTTTCTCCTGCGGTAGATGAGGCGACCCGAGCCTCTTCTAGGGGAATGTTCTGGGCCTGTCTTACAAGTGAGCGCGTGTGTGTTTCTGTGTGTGTGATGGAGGTTCCAGAAAGACCAGGCCGCCCCCCCAGGCCTGAAAAAAAAAAAAGGACGGCCAGGAAAGAGAGCTTGGGCTTCGATCGGCACAGCGTTGGTCCCATTGCTCTGACCGAGAGACGGATCAACTATCTGGGAAGAGTCTTTTCTGTGGGAGGGAGTTTGGACGCCTGGGCAGAAGGGAAGGAGCCTCTGGGTGCCTTGGTCGTTTGCTGTCTTCTAAAGGAAAGCAATAAATGTCACATGACGAATGCTTTAAACCAAAATGTTTTGTATATCGTCTTCTTCTCTAGCTGGGCTCTCTCTCTCTCTCTTTCCTCACCGGGTCCTTCTCCCAAGGATAGAAAAGAAGATCAATCCCTCGGGGGGGGGGGTTGAAAGCGGGCAACCCAAGGGGACGAGAAAACGGTCTTGGTCCGAGAGGCAGTGAAAGGACTGGCCCTTCTCTTGACCTTTGTGCACCAAGGGGTGAATCAGGTCCCTCCTCCTTTGCTCCTGGAGAGCATCCTCTGAAAGATGCTTGGCGAAGACAGGAGCCCCCCTCCTTCTCTCCTGCCCTTCCGAATCCTCTCCCCGTGTCTCCTGCCCCCTTCCTCTTGCCCCTACAAGTCCTCCCCGGGTGTCTTCCACCCTAATCCGTCCTGGCCCCAACCCTCCTGCCTCCCTGCCCCGGAAGCGGAGGCATGGCGAAGACGAAGACAGGACCGCTCCTTCTGTCGCCCCCCAGAAGATCCAGCCCAGGTGAGGGCAGTCAGTCTGTCTCAAGGGAGGCCTGTGGCTGAGGTGGAGGGCTAGCTGACGGGGGACCCCCCTCCCAGCATCTCTTCAAGGCACTTGGTCGGCCACTCTCCATGGAGGCAGAGGGCGGCCGTGTCCTGCCAAGGTCAGCCCCCCGTCGCCAAGGTGTCAGTGCTCAGGGATGATGGGCACTGTAGTCCAGCTGCCAGTGCTCCTGCAGAGGTCCCATGGCTGAACGATGGGTCTTCCCCTGCCAGAGGAGCAAATCCTGATGGATTCATCTCCTAACACCCACCTACCCCTCTCATTCTGCAGGAACAGCGCATCTAGGAAAAGGAAGGCCAAAGGGCAGCAGTTAGCTTCATCATCCTTCCCCTTCGGCAGTCAAAACGGGCACCCTCGGCTCCTCCAGGTACGGCCTTGGGCAGGGGGCCTGGGGTCAGGGTTAGGGTCGGGTCTCACTCGGCCCCTTCCCAGGGACCAACCCCAGGAGGTTCGTCAGTTTGCTGGTTCGTTTGTTTCCGCTGGTAGACCTGGGTCCCTTCTTTCTTTCCGTAGGAGCTGTGCCAGCCTCCGGGGAGGAGCTGATGGATTGCACGCCGGCACCATAGAAAATCAAGAGGTGTGTAGATGCAGGTCAGGAAGGCGAGGGCTACTCCCCATCGGGGCAGGGGGGCAGAGGGAGCTGTGCCCTCCACCTCTGCCCCCTTCCAGGGGAGAAAGTGGGGCAGGGTGGGTGGGTTGGTGTGGGAGAGCGAGGCTGCCAGACCAGCCCACCGGGGGGAAGCTGGGTCTCCCCAAAGAGAGCAGAGCAGGGACCCCAGTGGGGGCTCAGCCCCTTCCCCAGGACCCTCACGGCCTCCCCTTTTCTTTTCCAGCAGCCCCAAGAAGAAGACGAGTCAAGAGAGCCGGCGATGTCAAGATCACTTCCTTTTCTGGGGCCCCCATTCCCCCTCTTTCTTTTCCTTCTCTATATATATCAATGGTAATGTTGGCCTGTTTTTAAAATGAAATTAGTTTCTGTTTGTCTATTTAGCTGAAAAGCCTGTTGCCTTCTTTCCAAGGGAGGCGGGTGGGTAAGGAAGTCGGGTGGCGGGCGAGAGGGAGCCCACAGTCCCCCAGCGGGGGCCTGGGCAGGCGGGCATGGGGCATCCGGCTCTTGCCCCCTTTGCTCCCCCACGCTCGGCATGAGGTTGGGGAGAAAAGAACCCCCCTCCCAAGGGTTAGGGTCTCCGTCCATTAGGCCCCTTCCCAGGGACCAACCCCAGGAGGTTCGTCAGTTTGCTGGTTCGTTTGTTTCCGCTGGTAGACCTGGGTCCCTTCTTTCTTTCCGTAGGAGCTGTGCCAGTCTCCGGGGAGGAGCCGATGGATTGCACGCCGGCGCCGTAGAAAATCAAGAGGTGTGCAGATACAGGTCAGGAAGGTGAGGGCTACTCCCCATTGGGGCAGGGGGGCAGAGGGAGCTGTGCCCTCCACCTCCACCCCCTTCCAGGGGAGAAAGTGGGGCAGGGTGGGTGGGTTGGTGTGGGAGAGCGAGGCTGCCAGACCAGCCCACCGGGGGGAAGCTGGGTCTCCCCAAAGAGAGCAGAGCAGGGACCCCAGTGGGGGCTCAGCCCCTTCCCCAGGACCCTCACGGCCTCCCCTTTTCTCTTCCAGAAGCCCCAAGAAGAAGAAGAAGCAAGCGACCTGACCCGGAGATTTCAAGATGACTTCTTTTCCTTTTCTGGGCCCCCCGTTTTCCCCCCTTCTTTTCCATATTAATGTTGATATGTTTAAAAATCAAATTAGATTTTTTATCTCTATTTAAGCCCAATAGCCTGGTGCCTTTTTTTCCAAGGGAGGTGGGTGGGTGAGGAAGTCGGGTGGCGGGCGAGAGGGAGCCCACAGTCCCCCAGCGGGGGCCCTGGGCAGGCGGGCATGGGGCAGGCATGGGGTGTCTGGCTCTTGTCCCCTTCGCTTCCCCACCCCACCCATGAGGATGGGGAGAAAAGAGTTCCCCTCCCAAGTGAGTTCGAGAGTGAAGGGAGAGGTGATGGTCACCACCTGTCTCTTCTAGGGGAACATTCTGGGCCTGTCTTACAAGTGAGCAAGCGTGTGTTTCTGTGTGTGTGATGGAGGTTCCAGAAAGACCAGGCTGCCCCCCCCCAGACCTGAAAACGGTCTTGGTCCGAGAGGCAGCGAAAGGACTGGCCCTTCTCTTGACCTTTGTACACCAAGGGATGAATCAGGTCCCTCCTCCTTTGCTCCTGGACAGCATCGTCTTAAAGGTGCTTGGCGAAGACAGGAGCCCCCCCTCCTTCTCTCCTGCCCTTCCGAATCCTCTCCCCATATTTCCTGTCCCCTTTCCTCCTGCCCTTCCGAATCATCTCCCCGTGTCTCCTGCCCCCTTTACTCCTGCCCCTAACAAGTCCTCCTCGGGTGTCTTCCACCCTAATCCGTCCTGGCCCCAACCCTCCTGCCTCCCTGCCCCGGAAGCGGAAGCATGAGGAAGACAAGACCCCTCCTTCCATCGCCCCCCAGAAGATCCAGCCCAGGTGAGGGCAGTCGGTCGGTCTCAAGGGAGGACTGTGGCCGAGGTGGAGGGGTAGCAGACCAGGGACACCCCCCCCAGCATCTTTTTCTGGCACTTGGTCAGCCGCTCTCTATGGAGGGAGAGGGTGGCCGTGTCCTGCCAAGGTCAGCCCCCCGTGGCCAGAGTGTCAGTGATCTGGGACGATGGGCATCGTAGTTCTGCTGCCAGTGCCCCTGCAGAGTTCTTATGGCTGAACAGCAGCTCTTCCCCTGCCAGAGGATCAAATCCTGCTGGAATCATCTCAGGATTGATCTCCTCCCACCCACCCACCCCTCTGTTTCTGCAGGGACAGCGCATCTCGCAAGAGAAAGGCCAAAGAGCAGCTGGTGCATCCTTCCCCTTTGGCGGGTCAAACTGGGCTCCTGCGGCTCTTCCAGCTACAGCCTCGGGCAGAGGGGCTGGGGTCAGGGTCAGGGTCTCCATCCACTCTGCCCAGCCCAGGAACCAACCCTGGAAGGGGGAGCTGGCGGAGGCAAGGGGTCTTCCGGCTTGAGACCCAACCAGGGACCCAATGATTTTTCTGGTTCGTTAGTTGTTCACTGGTAGGTTTGGGCCTCTTTCTTTCCTAGCAGATGTGCCAGCCTCCAGGGAGGAGCGTTGGACTTCCCATCCACGCCAGACAGAACGAGACAGATAAGGCTTCAGAGGGCTCCTCCCCATCACCGGGGGTGGGGGGTGAGCAAAGGGACCTGTGCCCTCCACCCTGGCAACCCTTCCAGAGGAGAAAGCAGGTCAGGGTGGGTGGGTCGGGGTGGGGAGAGCGAGGCTGGCCCAGTGGAGGGGGAGGCTGTATCTCCCCACCGACAGCAGAGTAGGGACCCCGGAGGGGTCTCAGCCCCTTCCCCGTGACCCTTACAGCCTCCCCTTTTCTCTTCCAGCAGCCCCAAGAAGAAGCAAGTGATCCAGAGAATTCAAGATCCCTTCCCTTCCTTTTCGGGTCCTCAGTTCCCCCACCCCACTTCTTTCCCCTCTCTATTTATATTAATGACAGCTTGCTTTGAAATGAAATCACAGTCTATTATTTTCATGGCAGGTACAGCCAAAGACCAGCAGAATTTGGGTCTGGATGGAAGGGCCCCAGTGGTGGGATTCAAATAAATTCAAATAAATTCTATGCCCAAATGGCAAATAGATAGATAGATAGATAGATAGATAGATAGATAGATAGATAGATAGATAGATAGATAGATAGATAGATAGATAGATAGATAGATAGATAGATAGATAGATAGATAGATAGATAGATAGA